CAAGTTCATATTCTGTAAGATTCTCATAAATTTCTCAACAACTTTTGTAATTATTTTTCTTTCTGTTGACATTCGTAAATCTTGAGAAACTTAGAAAAATCAAGAATGTAGCTGCGCATATGCTGGTTTGTGTTTCAACAAAGAATCGATCCCGCTCCCGATTCCTAATCATCAACATTAAGACCCACATATCGCAAGCACCGGTGCAACTTCTATGTCAAAATTTTTTCTTGACAACACAAAATAAATAAATCAAAAGTGAGAAACAAATAAAATATGGTCGAGCAATTGTTCATTTATTTTCTATTCAATATATGAATAATGAACAAGCAACAGAAAGAATCACTCAACTAGAATGAAAAGTCGAAAAATCAAAGTATAATCTTTTCTTTAATTATCTAGCGGATTGTCATTCCTGAAACTATTGTTGTCCTCGATAATTTCGTATTCAGCGATTAGAAAAAAAAACAAGCATTCATGTTGAACATTTCATGTTTTTCTGCTCGAGCTTATCGATAACCGCGAGCACAATTGCAACAGAATATATTGCACCGGCCTCGACCACAACAAGACGTACCTCATATGCTATCAGCATACTTCCAGTCGACAACGCCTCTTTCATAATAGTGTGTGCTTCCATGACAACAGACTGATGATACAGGACCGACATACATAAGAAGGATACAGACAACTATCAAGAAAAGACTAAGACGGACGAATCAGTTCATAATTTTGAATATGATGGGATAAGATGATGTCCAAGATTATTTTCAATAGTTGAACTAGAAAGCATAAACAGTTCTCAATGAAGAACTATTATGAGAGAATGATAAATATAATATATCATTCATGCTAGAAAAGCGAATTATTATAACCGCTGGTTTCTTCCTATACCTCTCGTCGATCTTTTCAAAACTTGATGGGTATTTTGGGAAAGATATGTCGTTACTTAATACGCATCAAAGCATTTGTTTCTACCGTTTTAAGTATTAAGTTCTATCGAATCTAAGAATATGAGACATTTAGAAATTGAAATATTTGAAAATATTACTCAATCGATATTACCACTGGGTAAATATATTGATTTTTTCCGCAGATTCTTTCTTTGAGATGATAATTGCAACAAGAATTCTTCTCTGAATTTGCTGTATAGAAAGATGCACTTCAGTGCAAGACTACTTTAAAATTCATTTAAGAAAAAAGCAAAAAATTTTGAATTTGTTTCTATTTAGCTTGTATGATATCGAATGTGATTTGATCTTTAATTATCTTTTGTTGGAAAAGAAACTAGCGAAATATGATTGACAATAAAATAAAATCACCACCTTTGTCTTATCTGGAATACGTTTTTAAGATGTCGAATTATTATGATGAATAAAGGAATAAAGTAATGTGTTCTGTTTTCGTATTTATACCGAGAAATATTTTCCATCAAGTATATCTTTCATAAGCTTGGGACGCTATGAATCATAACAAACGTGAATTTTCCCACCACTGACACAACAAAACGACAAAAGAAAGAATAAGATGAATTTACTTGTGTTTCATCACGATATTATATTATGACTGATAATCATGAGAAAATACCATTGATTTCTATTACTTTATCAGAAAATTTCCCATCCTATATCAAATATTTACGATCCCAAACGATTGTTGATGGCGAAAAACTAAATATCTTTCACAACTGCTGTAATTCATGATCATATACGATCGTAGTTATGTGGTGTATATTGTCGCTATTCTAAACGACATATACTATCTTATATATTTACCTTTGGATAGAATCTAACTGCGAACTATCATGCGAATTTTCTTGAATGATATCATAATTATTTTTATCGTTGGAATATGTGTTCTAATCAGCAATAATCGAATATGGGTTTTCATATTGTTTTCATTAAGTTGATTTATTCACATAACAAGAAAAAAAAAGAGATTCATGATGCGCAGTGCATAACACTCATCAGAATTTTAGATAGATTCAATAATGATTAATGTGAATGGTAAACGTAACAGACAATGCATGATTTAGAAAAGCTATCTTCTTTAAAAAGAAAAATGGGATAGCAGAAGTAATGAATATATGCAGTGCATCATAAATACAATACTCTATGTTTCACACTATTTAATCTTGTCTTCCACAAACGAAGATAGGCCTATTTATCTTATGACAAATATGTTCTAAGTAAGTTAGAATGATATTCTTCACAAAAGTCAGATGCACACTTAAATGGTATATGCTTCCAGGATAGACCATAAAGAAAGACATAATATCAATAGACGATTCTTGCATAATTACTCTTGGATATGTGAAATGTAGTTTGTTGATATAAGCTATGCGTGTTCGCATGCATGAAGAGAAGATCTCAATTTGCAATCTAGCTCATGTACAATTACATCGACATTCTACACTCTCAAAATTACTATTTTATTCTAAAAAGCCTTGCTTCAGTAAGAGAGACCAAATATATAATTTTGAAAAAATCGATTACAGATTTGAATTTCTTGAACCCAAACACCTTTGATCAAATAAGATGGCAAATTCTTTCTTCTAGAAAGCAGATCTTCCTAGACGACAGAATCAAATCTAGAAGTTTTCATTAAGTCATTAGCTAGTAACTAGAAAAGCATCCGCCTTGGTAACGGTAGCTTTCTATTCTTAATTAATTCCAATTCTTACTAGTTTTAGTTCAATTCCAAGTCACAACTTGAAGTTGAAACATCTCTAATTTCTTATTAAATCCTCATATATATGTATATGTACGCATCGTAGATCAATCTTAGATATTAGTCATTCATGAATTGACCTAGGTCAATCTGATACTCGAAATTGAATTAGTTCAATGTTGAATAGAGTGAACAGTTTATAGTAAAACACAAACCAGTACCTGGATCCATGTAATATTCAGTTTACTTTTGGTGAGCCACATGAAGATAATGGTATTTCAGCAAAGTCAGTGATCAATTGATGAACTTATTGTGAGTTCAATGAATGATGAACATTTATCATAGAAGCTGCTTTTCTGCAAAAACGGTCATTTCAATAATAAGAATTTTAACTCGATATTCATCTAGAGACTAATTCGAATGTGGCAGTAAATTGGTCCCTGAACGCAATATTCAACCTCCGCTCCGAAATTCACTAAAACATGTCCAAATATGAGATTTCGTCTGCAATACAAATATATATAATGATTAATAGAATGTGGATAAGAAATTCATTCTTACTTGGTTTTATCTTCATTCATCGAATAAACTCACACTTTTTGTAGAATTATTTTAAACGATCAATATATTTCTGAACTATATGATAGTAAATCATCTTCATAAGTATTAGGAGTGTTTGTTGTCAGAAATAAATAAAAAACATACCGAACGAAAGACAAACAGGTGATACTTTAACTTAATTATATACAAAATATTATACACTTCAGAATACTCCAGGAGTTTTTCCTTAAAAAAAATACTCTTTGGAAGTCTGTGACATTGAAAAATATTTTTTTTTGGTTTTACAATAGATAAATTACGTAAATATCTGTATATTTATCTCACGAATAGTCTCTTGGGTGAGAATCGATTCTTTGCAGCTTGATGATTTCCAGTTATCCTTGAAAAAATCATTGAAATATTACGTTCGCTGAAAATCAGTCTGTATCACACATAAACTATTTGAAATTATCATTAGAACTACTATTCAAGTTGTATTATTTCCGCGAATACAGTTTCTTCGAATAGTTTGATTGCGATATTTCACAACATGTGATCCTTTCTAAGATCACATGACACAAGAGAAAAAAGAAAATCCCAAATGACTATAATCATTCTATTAATTCAATCGATTGATGATATACTTTGTTTACAAAGAAAATTTGTTTTTTCTCTCTCTCTCTAAGAGTAACTATTCATTTTTTCCAAGTGTACCATCAATGAATATATGTGTCATTAGGTTTTTTTTCCATGATTGAGACAGAAATGTTTACTGATGACTTACGAGACAAGTTTCTATGCTCAAGGTCAGAAAAAATGAGTAATATGTATACATACGGGGATGAACGGTCTGGCCGGGTGACCCAGCTAGATTTTTAGCATATAGGCACTATAATACATTAGAATGTTATGATTTTTTTACCAGTTATAGTACTCGTATAGTGCTAGTCATTCATCATTATTTCGATTATTTATCATCTCTAAGATTAATAAAATCAAGTGTCTTTCTAAGCTCTTTTAGTAAGTTGAACTATTAGCGTACTTATTCAGGCCAGTAATAACTAGGAGTAAAGATGCTATAGTTGTATATGCAAATCACGATCAGAGAGGGAAATAAAGAAGAAAATATCTTTTTACTCCAAATGCTCTGATTTTCACATCTATGCATATGTTGGACACGTTAAGCGTATGATTCATTCGACATGTCGCTCTATTTCAATTGCGTATTTCTATTCTATCTTCTATTCTCTCTCTCTCTTGTCTCTGTTTTTTCTATTACTTCGAAATATTTGCACCGAAACAGTACAATCAACTAAATCTATTTTAATGGCTTCTTCGTCGCAAATCGAATGGAGTTGTCCTGAATGTCAAGTTATCATAATGGATCGTCGTAAATTTTGCGACAATTGTCATTCAATGTTAGTGTGGACGTGTCTTAGCTCTGAGAAATCTGGATTATATGCTCATTATAGCCGACATCGTGATCGATGTGATTATTGTTCACCAGAACTTAAAGAAGAAAGAGAACAGCTAAAGAAAGAAAAACAGATTTCAAATTTTCAAGAACTTCAAACACTATACGTTGGTAAGCGAAATCCATCTACTTAGTCTGCATATGAACTTCTGTTCCATTATGCAGTTTATCTTGAGTATAAAATAACAAGACTTCATCATAATTCTATTGCTTCTACCTTGTAGATCAGCGTCCATGGTCAGAATGGAGTCGTAGTAATGATTCTTGTATTCAGCATACAGGACATGACATCGAACAAGTTCAACTATTATATAATATGTGTGAACAATCGCTTATAGAGTATTGTACGAATCGAAAACAACAATATTCATCAAGTACAAAAATGCCATATCTATCACCTATCAATCTACTTTCAATTACATTATGGTATTTAAAACACTACCATTCCGAGCGTTATATAGCAACAGAATTTGATTTCACTCAATCAACAGTTAGCTATTTTCTATCTGCGGTGATAGATATCCTATACTCCTGTGTATATCCAAAACTGATTGTATTACCTGATGATATGGATGATGAAGATGCTGTGCATGGATCCGAACAACATCACAAGCTAATAGTCGATTCGACTTTTATTCCAATTTATCAACCAGAAGATTCTGAAGAGCGTAAAGCTTATTATCATGCAAAAAGTCCGACTAATTATGCATTTAAATTACAAATAGCTTGTGACTTTCATCATCGCATAGTACATGTCTCAGAATGTTATAGGGGCAGTGTACATGATATTACTATTTTAAGAGAATCAGGCCTATTAGATTGTACACAAGAAAATGTACAAATTATTGCTGACAAAGGTTACATTGGTGAACAATATGTAATCACTCCAAGGAAAAAACCTCGTGGCCATGAATTAACAACCGAAGATAAAGATTTCAATCGAATTATTTTTGGCGAAAGAGCAGCCATTGAAAATATTAATCAACGTGTTAAACAATATGCTATTTTAGGACATGTTTATAGAGGATCTTATGATGATCTACGTAAGATTACTAAAATTGCACATGTTGTCTGTGCTTTATGTAATCTCAACTTAGACAAACATCCTATTCGTAGTTATAGATGATAGTGCGTTATCCACGGTTTCTGCTCTTTTATTTTTAATAAAAGTTCTTCAATAGGTTTCCTTGTTGTATTTGACAACGAATAAGATTTACAGTATCTAAGGTCGGTAACGGCTCATCTTACTGAAAGAACTTAGAAAGATACTTGATTTATTAGTTTTAGAGATGATAAATAATCGAAATAATGATGAATGACTAGCACTATACGAGTACTATAACTGGTAAAAAAATCATAACATTCTAATGTATTATAGTGCCTATATGCTAAAAAACTAGCTGGGTCACCCGGCCAGACCGTTCATCCCCATACATACAACAAATTGCATATTGTGATACTATAGTGAGTTTTTGCTTTTTCCTTATGATTCGATGATTGACTTTTTAGTGTTGTCATATATTCTGGAAAAATTTCGATGAATCATGTATTTAATTCTTGGAAATTAGCTGGAATCAGTGTCAAGAAAACTCAATAATTGCTAGTTGGAAAATTCATGCTTTTCATTATATAAATACTAATGTGTAAACAACTAGGTCTTCATTTTTTATCAATTGAAAAGTTGAATACACATCTCTCCAAATTTATACTAGATCGAACATGTCTCCCAAAGGTAATTATTTCTTTTCTTGATAAATTTAAAAGTATATCAGTTTATTAAAGATTCTTTTGCAGATACGAATCTACCGACTATTGTTATATTAGCCACCGGTGGTACCATTGCTGGTGTATCAAATATGAATGAACCGTCTGATTCTTATGATGCAGGTGTACTTACCGTCAAAGAATTGCTAAAGAGTGTGCCTAACATTGGAAATATTGCTCGAATTCAGACAAAACAATTGACAAACATCGATAGTAAAGATATGACGATCGAAATATGGAAGAAGCTTGTCAAAAATACACATGAGCTTCTTAAACAACCCAGTATCGATGGTATTGTTGTCACACACGGTACTGATACACTAGAAGAAACGTCCTTTTTCACACAACTGATTGTGAATAGTGATAAGCCTGTTGTGTTTACTGCTGCAATGCGACCATCAACAGCTTTATCTGCCGATGGTCCACTCAACTTATTTAATGCGGTGGTAGTGGCAGCGAGTCAAAACTCCAGAGGACAAGGAGTATTAGTCGTGATGAATGGTAAGATTTTTTCTGCATATGATGTAACAAAAACGAATACTTATTGTGTCGATACATTTTGTTCGCCTGAATTCGGTCCACTTGGAAGAATTGAAAATAGTCAAGCACATTATCAACGTAGTATGAGGAATACAAATTCGAATGGAACATCGCGTCGATTTGATATTAATACATTATCTAATTTACCTCGGGTCGAAATCGTTCCAAGTTATGCACAACCATCACGAATAGTGATTGATGCACTTGTAAATGATGGCTGCAAAGGAATTGTTATTGCTGGTACTGGCAACGGAACCATTCATGAAATACTGCACGAGGCAGCAAGAAATGCAGCGAAAAGAGATGTGACGATTGTACGTGCATCACGTGTTTGTTATGGTAGTGTGGCACAGAACATAGACTATGATAATGTTGGCTTTCTTCGTGCTGGCAGGCTCAATCCATGGAAAGCACGTATACTTCTAATGTTGATACTGGCATCCAATATCACCGATTATGCTGAGCGTCAACGCATTTTTGACAGCATTTAAATTTTCAGATTCACTTGTATAAAGAAAAATATCTATATTTTTATGTTTTGTTTTTCGTCTTTTTGTTTTTCACCTTCTTTCCTTGTATATTATCTCAATATTTTGTACATTTCATATGAAAGTTTATTTATCAATTACAATGAAATAAAAAAGAGAAATGGTCAATTTTAACCATAAATTAATGTATTTTGTTGTAAAACAATAATGTTATTTTGTAATATTGACTTAGATTTTCTTCGTTTATTGAAGATGCGCATTACATATTAAGTTTTCTTACTCATAACGCCTACTTCCCACATGGAATCAATCAACATCCGCTTTTTCTTCTAAAAGAATGCACGCATATTATGTTAAATTATTCGTTCTTTTTTTTCCAAAAGCTTGTTTGTTTATGTGAAATTTGTTTCGATAAATTCTCAAGAGATTATAGTAGAAAGTGTAAATACAAACAGACGAAGATCATCATAATTTCTAGGAGAAAATTGTTCTAAATGTATGTTACTCAGTTGTTGTCATTTATCTCTTTTGCACCGTATTCTATATGTTGTGATTTTCCTTCTCTGATTAGATTATATGTTTTTTTCGCATTCTTATCATAGGCATTTTCCATTTCTGTTATATGATTAGGTGTTTTTCTCTTAGCTGTTTTTATTAACGTACTCGAATTTTGGCATGCCGAAAAAATATGATTCATAAATCGACATACACATAGTTGTGCAATGGATACCACTTTCTTTGGTTATGACTTTGTAAAAGAGAAGTTTTTTTCCAGCTGGAATAACTTCAACTATAGAAAAATAAGAAATCTATAAATCTGTCAAGGATATTTTAAGTTACGAAGATGATTCGAACATATTTAAGATACCTCTTATTGAATTAATCATAAAAAATGTATCAAAACTTTTGCTTTTGATCATGCTCGATTGAAAACTATGCAAAATCATGAAGTTATTAACTACGATCTAGAAATCGTATGATCATGATTATCACATCGTATCCTGCTGTTTAAAGAATTCATATTTTACTTTTACGCATCAATCTTTGCAATCTTTTCAATGGAGTTGTGTCTGATAGTGTTTTAATCCGTCTATGTGTAGAAAATATTGAATTCTAACTCAACTGCTGTTGAATTTTCGACTTTAAGATGGTGAATATTGCTGTTACAACTTTGAATCCTATTATTTTTATATAAGATTATTTTTCTATGCAGATCAACTATTTCACTTTTTTTCATTTCCTTGTTTACTCTGTAGCGTGAGTGTTACACAATTAAATGTCAACAACAAAAGGATAAAAGATAACCATTATTGTTCTTCTATGAAAACAAATCAATCTTTCGCTTTCTATTTGATCTAACAGGGAAAAAACACAATATCAATTCCTTTTAGCCTAAAAAGAGGCTGTTGTATTTGATGACGATGAAAAGAGCAAAGGAAATTTCTTGTATATCAATGCGTCAGTAGGAAAAAATAGAGTTTCTCGTCTGGATTAATACAAGATAGTTATGATATTCCAACTATGGAAGAAAGAAAAAAAAGCAATAAGCACTATTTATTTCTTCGTCCAAGAAGAGAACGTGTCATCATTGTTGATCAACGAAAGATAGAATGGTTTTTTCATGGTCTTTCCTATAAGTTAGAAAAACATAAATCTCGGTAGATTCCTTTGTTTTCTGTGACTAACTTGGAATAAACCATTAAAACGTAAAATTAATGCTAGGTTTTTCCGAAAAAGCATTGCATCATTCAGTTTGTCGAACTAATATAAAAAGGATGAATTTATGCCTGATTTTCACTTCATCCAAGTATTATACAAAGCAACATTCAGAAGGTAAGTAACATATAAACATTTGCTTCTAATTTTCAAATCGGAAGATATCTTATTCTTGTTGAAATATCTCTTATACAATCAATTGTTAGATTCTGTATTATGATTGCAGAGTTTATGATTCTCGAGTTATTTTCAGCATATGCTTAATTGTTTAACAAAAAATCTAATAGTATTCAGTTATCTTCATTTATCAAAATCAAAAAAAGACGTTGTGATAAGACACAACTGAGTTAAAATAATGTAGTGATAGTGATGTTCTTTTGAATTTTGACAAAATGAAAGATTTATAATTGGAAAACACATTATTTTTTTTTTCATTTCTTTTCTTTAGACTTATTCAAATGGTTTCTACAACAGAATCAACAATACAAAAGTTGGAAGATTGTTCGATGAGTAATTATTAAGTAAACCTTATTTGATTTATTATAATATTTTGTTAAACATAGACGGAATTCCAATTTATACATCAGAAAAATATGGAAATGACGAACAAGGTGATGGATCTGAAACAAAACCATTTCGAACTCCATTACAGGTATTTAATTGAAAACAAATCCTCATTATACTATTATTATATTAGGGTTATCGACAATATGGTGATACAATTACAATCTACATTGACTCGAAAGATGAAAGAAAAGTAAAAGAAAATTTGTTTTTCTCATTCTATTTTGAAATATTTTATTTAATCATCAGGATAAATGGGAATTGTTATCGAAAACACAAGGAAAAAAAGTGAAAATTCAATATGAAGAAGAAAAACGAAAACAAGAACGGTCACGTCAACAAGAGGTTCGAGTAATATGAAATTCTTTATTTTTCATCAAAATATATATGCAGTATGATTCAGTGGAATAAAAGTCTTAGATCTGAAGCATTTTTTATTTGCTTGAGATAACTATTTATGAATAAAGCAGTTTCACATTATTAGTTATTGCAATAGTTCAATATAAGTTTTTAACTGATCAGATCTTGTTCGAAGTTTCTCCTTTGATCGAGACAACAGAAAAATATAATTAAAGATATTCATCAGTCAGTTAAAAAGTGATTCAGAACCAAACCACATATATGTGGTTCCCATCTTCGAGGGATTAAAAGTTAAGCAAACATGTTTACTTTAACTGAAAGACGAAGTTCAATGTTAGTTTCCACGTAAACTTATTAGGAATACAACTAGATGACAAATTGTAGAAACGAAAGACCCTAAATGTAGCTCAAACCCGATGATACAATTGTTTTTAAACACAACTTGAAACAGAATTATGTCTGAATGCCACTAACAGCAACTTTAAATAGCATCTAAATGCAGTCAGAATGCAAAGCGCGCATCCAGGGGCGATTGCCACTGTACGTTTTGATGTGCTCATGCACAATAAATATTTTATCCGGGTTGCTCATGAACGCACTTATCACATGTATGATATTTATGTGTTAAAGTCTAATATTTTTTTGTTTTTTAATATAAAAGTTTTCGACCTAAAGAGTCAAATGTGTCAGACGAAACAAAATGCATATAATCGTATACAAGAAAGGCTCAATTCTTTAAATGCATTTACTTCAATTCCCATTGATTCTTGTAGAAAGATTTCTATAAAATTTATTTGTATCTCAGTATCATTAAACATTTCATTCTCAGTAAAAAGAAAAATCAATCACTTAGTTTGAACTTAAAATTTAAATTTAAATATTTTTGTACTTTAAATAGAAAAAAATTAATACAAGTGATTTGAGTATCTCTTTCGTATTCACTTTTTACGGGCACATTATTTACTGAAAATATTGAACTGCTGACAAAACTGTATATGCTTTATTCTACCTCATTTCCAAAAAGGTTTAATAATGCCCAAACGAGCTACTGTGACCTTAACGCCGTTATTGTTGAATTCATCATCTTGTTCCTATATAAAAAAATAATTTCTATGAATATTATTTTCATTTTCAACTATTTGGTTTTATCTAAACTTCGGCAAAGTAATTTTTAAAAGGTAATGTTAGTTTGCCTTTATTCTTCTTCATAATAAAGAATGAGTCCATATGAAACTTTTACGTTTTATGAGATTAAGATAAATAAAAAAAAAAGAAAATCTTCATTATCTTAAAAAATAAAGGTGAGTAATTTCTCCAGTTGTAAGAAAACATCAATGAATACTTAATTTACAAATAAAATAAGCGAAGTCAAAGAATAATTTGTTCTATGAAGACCTAATCTTGTTTTTTCTCAAAACTTCTACAAAAATTGTAATGCCATAATTACAAATATGTAGATATAGATAAGACTTTTCCATATATTTTCATACAGCGTTCTCAACTTTAAATAATAATATATATTCTGTTATTAACGAAAAAAAATTATTTAGTTTGTTATAAAACAAATTTTTTTATTTATCAAAAAGAGGTGTTAATTTACTCTTTAATTTTTCTTCGCCTTTGAGATAATGAAATTTTTTATTGCTTTTTATTCGTTGTTTTATAAATATAAGAAATGCATTTATTTTTATCGTAAGAAAAAATCTGATTTATATTCATATACAAAATGATAATAATCAACATTATTTTTCTTAGAACTATAAGTACTTCAAAAATTGTTAGTCTTTCAATTTATGAACATGTAACCTATTTCGAGCTGTATATAGCTCAGAGTTACTTGTGCTCGGCTTGTAATCAATGGTCGCGTGCTAAAATCTTGGTTCGAACTGTCGTTGGAAAAATTCCACTCTGTTGCTCACAGTATTAGAGTGTTATATCATAGTTCGCTATGATGCATCGGTTCAAATTCGATACAGAGTGACGGTTACTTTTTCAAAATTTTTTGAGAATAAAGTAAACGTATCCAGACGCCCTCAGTTCTCTGAACGCGTTCTCACGCTTGAAAATGTTGCATTTTGGACGCGTACAAACGCGTTAAGCTCTATTGCGTTAAACGCTCAGAAACGCGTTGCAAAATCTAAAATGGTTACATGCGTAAATTAACATTGAAATTTCGGTTAATTAAAATTTGTCA